ATAGGTTAAGTTTCAAGGCAAATCCTGATAGAATTTTTGTTAAAATACATTAAATTTTTAGATTATTTTCTGGGGAATTGTCATTTTAACCACTTTGAGTCTGCCTATGGAAAACCATAATTGTGCAATTATAAAACTATAATTGAGCAATCTGCCTGCCTCAGCCTTCCAAAGTGTTGGGATTACAGATGTGAGCCACTGCGCCCTACCTATTTTTAAAACTTTCATTTCCTAGTTGTTATTTGCTGGTACATGGGAAGACACCATTCATGTTGATCTAGTAATGAGCAATCTTACAGAGCACTTACTAATTTTAATACTTCATCTGTAGGCAGTCATATCATCTGCAAATTATGGCTTTTCTTCTAGTCTTAATATCTTTTTATTTTCCCCATGTTTTTTGCAGTGACTGAAAAGCAAAAGTATTGTGTTTCATAGAAGTAGTAATTGTGTATATCTTAATGCCATTAAAGGAACTGTTTCTAAGATTTTATCATTGTGGGACGTTTCCTTTGGGTTGTTGGAGGATACCTTTTTGAAAGTTTTTTTTAATAATGATGAGCTAAATGTCTCTGAATGGTTTTTCTGTATCTGTTGGATTCTTTTTGCTTGTTTTTTTGTTTTTGAGACAGGGTCTCACTCTGTCGCCCAGGCTGGAATGCAGTGGAATGGTTATGGCTCACTGCATCCTCAACCTTCTGGGCCCAAACCGTCTTTCTACCTCAGCTTCCCAAACAGCTGGGACCACAGGCGTGTGCCACCATGCCTGGCTAATTTTTACTTTTATTATTTTTAGAGACAGGGTCTTCCTATTTGCCCAGGCTGGTCACTAACTCCTAGGTTCAAGTTATCCTCCTGCTTGGTCTCTGAAAGTGCTAAAGTTACAGGCATGAGCCACCATGCCCAGCCTATTGCATTATTTTCTCTATTAATCAGTCAGTATGGTATATTACTTGAGCAAAATCTATTAATTGGCCTCTAATTTCTCATACTGTCTCTGCCTGGTTTTTGTGTTTAAACATTATATCAGTTTCATAAAATAAGTTTAGGACCTCTCCTGCTTTTTCTGCTCTCTAGAACTTTGTATAAAATGGAGATTGTGGCCGAGCACGGTGGCTCATGCCTGTAATCCCAGCACTTTGGGAGGCTGAGGCGGTTGGGTCACCTGAGGTCAGGAGTTTGAAACCAGCCTGGCTAACATGGTGAAACCCCATCTGTATTAAAAATACAAAAATTAGCCGGGTGTGGCGGGACCTGTAAGGTCCCAGCTTCTTGGAGGCTGAGGCAGGAGAATTGCTTGAGCCTAGGAGGCAGTGGTTGCAGTGAGCCGAGGTCATGCACTGCACTGTAGCCTGGGTGACAGAGCAAGACTCTGTCACAAAATGGAGATTGTTCCTTGAAATTGGATAGCATTTGCTTATAAAAGTAGACCTAATGTTTTGGGTTTTGTGAGGAGATTTTTTTTTTTTTTTTTAGACTGAGTCTTGCTTTGTTGCCCAGGCTGGGATGTAGTGTTGCAATCTTGGCTCACTGCAGCCTTGACCCCCTGGGCTCAAGCAATCCTCCCACGTCAGCTTCCCTAGTAGCTGGGACCACAGATGTGTGCCACCATGCCCGGCTATTGTGAGGAGAGTTTTAAGAACTATTTTCAGTTTATTTAATGACTTAGGTTTATTCAGGTTTTCTGGGATTTTTTTTGAAGTTGGTTTTCTGAAGTTGTATTTTCTAAGAAACTCTGTTGTCATCAGGTTTTCCATTTCTCAGTCCAGTTTATTGGTAACAATAGTTTTTCTCAATTTTTTTGAGGTACAGTGTACATAATAGTAAAATGCACAAATCTTTGGCTCAGTGAATTTTTTTTTTTTTTTTTTGAGGCAGAGTCTCGCTCTGTTGCCCAGGCTGGAGTGCAATGGCCCGATCTCGGCTCACTGCAACCTCCACCTCCCGGGTTCAAAAGTAGCCACTATGCCTGGTTACTTTTTGTATTTTTAGTAGAGACAGAGTTTCACCATGTTGGCCAGGATGGTCTTGATCTCTTGACCTCGTGATCCGCCTGCCTTGGCTTCCCAAAGGGCTGGGATTACAGGCATGAGCCACCGTGTCCGGCCTCAGTGAATTTTTTGTAAGCACACACATCTGTGAAACCACCACTCAGATCCAGATACTTTACTTGGAATGTTTCCAGCATCCCAGAAGGCTCATGCTTGTTTGCCAGTTTCTTTTTTTTTTTTTTTTTTTTTGAGACAGGGTCTTGCTATGTTGCCAGGCTGGAGTACAGTGGTGGTGTGATCTCAGCTCACTGGATCCTCCTCCTCCTGGGTTCAAGTGATTCTTCTGCTTCAGCCTCCTGAGTAGCTGGAACTATAGGCACACACCACCACACCCAGCTAATTTTTGTATTTTTAATAGAGATGGGGTTTCACTTATGTTGGCCAGGATGGTCTTGCTCTTGACCTTGTGATCCACCCGCCTCGGCCTCCCAAAGTGCTGGGCGTACAGGCGTGAGCCACTGCGCCCAGCCGGAAGGCTCATGCTTGCCACTTTCTAAGAATATCCCCACATGACTTTTTGTTTTTTGAGACAGAGTTTTACTCTTGTTGCCCAGGCTGGAGTGCAATAGCATGGTCTTGACTCACTGCAACCTCTGTCTCCCAGGTGCAAGCGATTCTCCTGCCTCAGCCTTCCAAGTGTCTGGGATTACAGGCATGCACCACCACGCCTGGCTGTTTTTTTTTGTATTTTTGGTAGAGATGGTGTTTCACCATTTTGGTCAGGCTGGTCTTGAACTCCTGACCTCAGATGATCCACCCGCCCAGACCTCCCAAAGTGTTGGGATTACACGCGTGAACCACCGTGCCAGACCCTCACATGACTTTTGGATCCATAAGTATGCATTTCTGTTCATATACATATGAGTGGAATTTTCTGGGTTGTGGCATACATGTTGTTTGGCTGTATTAGATACTGCCAGTCAGTTTTCCAGAGTACCTGTGTCAGTTTCCCACCAAGCAGTGTATGAGAGTCCAGTTACCCCCCATCCGTAGTAACACTTAGTATTGTCAGGTTTTCTTTTTTCAGTCATTTAAGTGTGTATATATGCTGATAGCTCATTTGGCTTTTATTTCATGTCCCTGATGACTAATGATATTGAGCACTTTCTCATGTTTTTTGGACCTCGAAGCACCTATTTTAAAAATTGGTTTGTCCTATGTTTCTAGTTGATGTATACAAGTTCTCTCTAATCCTGAATACAAATCCTTTCTTGGATATATGTATTGCAAGTGCTTTTCACACTTTGGGGCTTGCTCTTTTTCACTTTTCTAATAGTCTTTTTTGATGAGTAGCATTTTAAAATTCTAATTAAGCTGATTTATCAGTCTTCTTTTACGGCGTTTGTGTCCTGTTTAGGGAAGTCTTCACAATTTTCAAAATGTGTTATTTTGGTCCTAGCTAATACAATTAATCAAGACAAAAATCTCTAGGGTGGGGCCTGGATGTTTATAGTTTAAAACCCCTAGAGTGATTTGGGGATGTAATCAGGGTAAAGAATAACTGGTTTTTAAATAAAATACAGAGTCTTGAAAGCCTCTAGAATAAGTGCCTAGCCTAGCTTTGCTGCTTTATTTCTTGTTCTTCCTCCATGTGTACCCTGACTCCAACCAAATGTGATGACTTGCTATTACTATTCTCTTTCTTTTTAGACTTGCTTTTCCAATACTGTTTTACTTTATTTCTTCCTCGCAGTTCATTATGTTGTGTTAATTTATCCTTACTTCTCTGTGTATCTTCTCTCCACCCTATGGTACATTCCTTGAGGATGAGGACTTCGGTTATCCAACTTTGTAGACTTCATATTGTTTATTATAATAGTGCCTTATTCAGGAAGCATTTTTGACAGAGAATATAAAGTAACACCATTTCTTTGCAAGTATTTGTTGACATTTTTTTGCTGCTGAATATTTCCAACCAAAATCTTCTGATTTTGTAGAGTAAAATGAAAAAAATGAAAGAAAAATACAAAGACCAGGATGAAGAAGACCGTGAACTTATCATGAAATTGCTGGGGGTAAGTAACATCTAAAAACATTTTTTCTTTTGCTTTTCAAATGGGCATCTAGTCCACTGCCTAGCATATGACGGGCATTCAATACATTCTTAACACTGACTAATGTTTCCTCTATGAATTAAAGTCTGCAGGTTCAAACAGAGAAGAAAAAGGGAAGAAGGGGAAGAAAGGAAAAACAAAGGATGAACCTGTGAAGAAACAGCCCCAGAAACCCAGAGGTGGACAAAGGATCTCTGACAACATTAAGAAAGAAACTCCGTTCCTTGAGGTTGTAACTCATGAGTTACAAGACTTTGCTGTAGATGATCCACATGATGACAAGGTAAGGCTACTATACATGTGGGCTTCTGCTTCTTAATTAGGGTGATTAACCATCCTGGGGTTCCCAGGACATGGGATTTTCAGTGCTAAAACCAAGACAAGTGGGTAACCCTATTCTTAATGGAATGTCATCTCAGAAATATAACCTGAAAGACTAAAATTGCAATATCTTATCTAAGCATGAAATGGTAGTATTGATAGCTGATAAAAATTTTGTTACAAGCCTTTAGGAAGTAATCAGTTTTATGGAGAGGCTTTGATTCTGACGGGAACTGAGTTAAATTAAGACAGAGAGGCCGGGCGCCGTGGCTCACGCCTGTATTGCCAACACTTTAGGAGGCCAAGGCAGGCGGATCACAAGGTCAGGAGATCGAGACCATCCTGGCTAACATGGTGAAACCCTGTCTCTACTTAAAAAATACAAAAATATTAGCCAGG